GGACTGAGGGATCTAAAATACTATTTTTGGAACGCAGGAAATTACTCATTAAGAAAGAAAAAGCGAAGAAAAATAGTGGGGGATGCCCTTTATGGGGCTCTTTTCCAAACCGGGGCTGGACGAGCAAAGAACGACGAAGGGGCGGGGTCCGGACGAGTTTTTCGCGCGCTGCTGAAATAGTGGCCGGTTGCCAACAGCTGATCGATAGCGTTGGCGTTATTTTCAATTACACGCCATCTCCTTTCTTTCTTCTCTCTCCTCCTTTCTTTTTTTCTCTTTTCTGTGTTTTTTCTTGTTTTTTCTTTCTCTCTTATATTGGTAGTGGCGTTTCCTGTGTAATAATTGTATTTTCAGAGTCTGGACCTTCGAAAATTTATTAAATGATTAAATGTGTGCGTTCTACTAGATGCAGTTCACTGTTTTATCCAAGATGTCTATTTTAAATTTAGGGAAGATCGGCGCTCCGTTTAGATATTGCGGCAACCTTGAGGTCGTCTTTTTGATGAAAATTTATTTTGCCTGCCTCTGTATTCATTTCTGAATGGAAACGACGATCTCCACTACTGTGAACTTCAGGCCATATGGCAAAATTCTTCCTGGGAAAGGTGAGTACTTCATGTAATACTGTAATAATATGATGTATACTATATGATGTTCACGTAAACTACTTGTTCTGCTTTCTTTTTCTTCTGTTTTTTGTTCTGTTTTTTTTGTTTGTTCTTGTTTTTTGTTCCTGTTCACTTTTCCTTTTCACTTTTTCTTTTCCTTCTTTCTTTCTTCGTGTTCATAACGCCTTTTTATGTTAAGGAACGTTTCGAAATAGTATTGATTTTGTGTTTCTTTGTATTCCCACTCAATTTTTTTTCAGATTCGGATATTGCAATGTGCGACGATCGCTGTAGGGGTGAGTTTTCTTCTTTCCTTTTGTGGCTATAGTTTTTTTGATGATCTATTTTCTCATTCATGTTCTTTTGCATGGTCCTTTTTTCAGTTCTTTGTATTCCCTCTCATTTTTTTTCAGATTCGGATTTTGCAATGTGCGACGATCGCTGTAGGGGTGAGTTTTCTTCTTTCCTTTTGTGGCTATAGTTTTTTTGATGATCTATTTTCTCATTCATGTTCTTTTGCATGGTCCTTTTTTCAGTTCTTTGTATTCCCTCTCATTTTTTTTCAGATTCGGATTTTGCAATGTGCGACGATCGCTGTAGGGGTAAGTTTTTCTTCTTTCTTTTGTTGCTATAGTTTTTTGATGTTCTATTTTCTCTTTCATGTTCTTTTGTATGGCCCTTTTTTCAGTTTCCCCCATTTCCTCCCTCCTTGCCCCTTTCCCTCATTTTTTCGCTGTTCTCTGCCGGAGGGGGTTGATTAGTGGCAGAACCTGATGGATTCTGACCCTATTCAACTTTGCCTTGGCACGACAGCATTCCCTGTTCCCCTCCCCCCCTCATCAGAGTGTTTGTGTGAAGTGTGAATGTTGTCTCTTTGTCCTGTGTCCTCTTCGTCCTCTTTTGTGGATACTTGTTCTGTGGAGCGATGTTCAAGGAGGTAAAATATTGCTTTTAATTTGTTGCGAATTCATGCAATCTCGGTGTACGGTGTAGTGTAGTTGTACGGTGCGGTTGCACACGCCGCAATTTCACGACGCCTAATCCAGCTGTCTGCTACCTCCTACTTCCCCATACTCTCCACTCCTGGACTCTGGTCGAAGCAGGTAAACGCTGGTCGACGCTGGCATTCGCTGCATCGATACCTATACCTCCCAAGTCATCGAGACGCTAGCGTTCACTAGATTGAGATCTCTACCTTTCTGGTCGCCTACGTGTGTTCGAAACGCAGGTGGTCGCTGATGGACACTGATACAAAGTATGAACACAGCCTAATTATTGTTTAGACTACAAGTCATCATCATTACATGAGCTGGTCATTCTCTGAGAATCCGTATCAAGTTGTGTTGATAGAGGATTGATACCTTGCTCTACATGTGGTGTGGTTCAGGTACATGCGTCGTCCTGTGATGTGTGGCCCAGGAATCTATGACCCTACTACGATACTGCATAGCAGTCATTTGAGTGCTGCTCTACGGGCAAGCTGGATCAAGCTCCTTTATATCTAAGCATCTGTCTTTGCGCGATCTTGAAGAGCTTTACATTAATTTTATTCCGTTCAGTCTCGCATATTGAATAAAGGAGGCACTCAAATTTCAACTGTATATATTTGTGATTTGTATTGTATTGT